TATACAGCAGTGATGGACTATCTCCGCGTTTCTATGGTTTACCGAAAATCCATAAACCGGAAATTCCATTGAGACCTATTGAGTTCTTTGTGAATTCTCCTACATATGGAGTTTCAAGTTTTTTGGCGAAAATTTTGTCCACTGTGGTGGGAAATACCGAAAACACTGTCAAAAATTCCTGTCATTTTGCAGAATTTGTAAGAGGTAAAACTCTTAAAGCAGATCAAGTGTTGGTATCATTTGATGTCGTTTCCTTGTTTACAAATATCCCAGTTGATCTTGCCATCAAGGTTGCTGCAAAAAGACTAAGACAGGATGCCACTTTGTTACAAAGAACATCCTTGCCTGTAGAAGATATTATTGATCTTCTGTCTTTTTGTCTCAACGCCACATACTTTGTGTTTGAGGGCTGTTATTATCAACAGGTTTTTGGAACAGCAATGGGGTCACCAGTTCGGCAGTAATTGCTAATTTAGTAATGGAAGATGTCGAACAAAGAGCTTTAGCCTCTGTTCCGGTGTCCCTATCGTTTTGGAAACGTTTCGTCGATGATGTCATCTCTGCGGTTTCTACAAATGAGATCGATATTCTGCTGCAACATTTAAATTCTATTGAGCCGTCCATCCAATTCATGGTAGAACGTGAAATAAATGGACATTTAGCTTTTTTAGATTTGAATGTACACAGAACTGTCGAAGGGAAGTTAGAGACTGATGTTTATCGCAAACCCACACACACAGACAAATACTTGTCATACGACTCTCATCACCCAGTAAGCCATAAAAGATCCGTAGCAAAAACTTTGCTTCAAAGAGCTGAATCGTTGCCGTCAAACAGTGATTCTCAAGCTAATGAACGTGAATATGTTCTAAATGTTTAAGGGGAAAACAATTACCCAAAGCGTTTTCTTAATGATTGCCTGAGACCACCTGTTTGTAGGAACCAAAATAACTCCGAGGGTGATACCTCTGTTAAGGGTTTTGTAATAGTTCCATACATTCAAGGTGTCACAGAACCAATCAAGAGAATCTTAAGTAATTGTAATATTAAGGTTGCCTTAAAACCCTATTTGACCTTAGGCCATATTTTCGCAAAGCCAAAAGATCCTGTTGAAAAAAAATCAGAAGACTCATGCTATATATTCTATACCATGCGGTGACTGCGATAAAGAGTATTTGGGTCAGTCTAAACGCCAGTTTGGTACACGGCTAAAAGAACATCAAAAGGTTGTTTCAACTTTAGACAAGGGAAAATCAGCTTTAGCCGAACATGTATGTTACACCAAACACGAGATTGCGTGGGAAAACTCTAAAGTAATTACCACAAACAATCGCTATGGTCAAAGACTTTGCCTAGAAGCGTGGCATATAAATATGAGTCATCATGCTTTGAATAGGGATGACGGCGCCTATTTGCCAGAAGAATATATGCATCTTCTTGGCAGGTGACGTCATCCTTTGGGTAATTAAGAGGCCACGATCGCAGTTTTAGATCACCCCTGATGAAGACACTAGACTGGAGTGTTGAAACGTTGGGTCTTGATTACAATTCGACTGGGCTTTGTAATCATTTATTTAAACCAGAGTAGCGAGCGAAACATCATGCAGTCATAGTTGGTAATCCATTGACCAAAAGATCTTACCCTGCTATTCCTTAAATCTCTTTTCCACTGACGACTATTATTAGATTTTTGTTTGCGATGAAGATACGGCTAGATTAGGATTGCATTATGGTCACTTTAACCAACTGGAGGGAGGTGGGAACACATGTACGCAAGGGATTTCAAGAAAAGTCTGAATTATATAATCATATTCAATCTAATGTGGACTCTTTCCTTTGTCGTCACCCTGATGCAGTTGTCGTCGTTACGGGAGATTTCAACCCTACAAGTATTGGGTTTAATGATAAACACCTGAAACGAATTTCTGGACTGACACAGGTAATTAATGTTCCAACAAGACAAAATTCTATTTTAGACTTGTCTGGTGTTTAGTTAATGTCAGCGCCTGATGACGTGGTATGGTAAATAACTGCTAGGAGTATGATGGAAATTGACCTGGGCAGATATCTTAGTCTCACAGATAACCACAGGGATTCAACTAAAGGGTTTTCAAATTCTTTAATTCTCCTACATTTAATAGAAGACCTGATGTAAACGCATACACCCTCACCAGAAGCTACTGCACGTATATCTCTATAAACGTATATTTCAGTCCGCCATTTATATGAAATTTAATAATGAAATCACTATAAGATCTAGACCCCCAACGAAACATTACCGTACTTTACAGTAGTACATCACCCGTAGCGCTCTAGTACCGTTTTTTACCAGACCAGACACAAAACTACCTTAAATGTCTTACCGCAACGTACCTGTACAGTGCCTTACAACAATGTATGTACATTACTATCCCTACCGTACCGTATTTTAGCCCACATACATTACCGTGCATTCATGCAGGCACATTGTAAAAACTTAACAGAAGTTGAGGTAAAAGTTGTATGCTGTTGTATCTAACACCAACCTTGGGCATAGCGGATATAAATTCATGTGCATTCGCCATCTTTGCTGCTTCTTCAATTTCTTCCTGAGTAGCATCATCTCTTCCATAACGAATATTTTCAGCAACTGTTGTGGCAAATAACACAGGTTCTTGACTGACTACACCAATATGCTGACGAAGCCATTTCAGATTATATGTTTTGACAGCTCGTCCGTCAATGGACTAAATTAAGGTAGTTGAATTAAATTACTTTCAAACACAAAATCATATCATACTATTACGAACCTTTATACAGGAATAGGATATTTACAATGCCTCAGTGTACAATAATCACTGCTATCCTAGCATGTTCTGTATCGAAGTTGTAGAACTGAGTTTATCATTTCAAAAGCACGAAACTATCAGCATGGGATTATCGATAATTTAAACACATATACAGTAGCCAAGAATTTACAACAGACGAAAAAGTGAAAACATTTGTGCAAAATACAAAAAACAGTAACTCTGAATAACATTTTGTAGCTTTAATGAATCTATGTTTCGACTATATTTTAGTCATCATCCTGACGACGTCAATTCGACTATATTTTAGTCATCATCCTGACGACATCATTTCGACTATATTTAGTCATCATCTTGACGACGTCATTTCGACTATATTTTAGTCATCATCCTGACGACGTCATTTCGACTATATTTAGTCATCATCCTGACGACGTCATTTCGACTACATTTTAGTCATCATCCTGACGTCATTTCGACTATATTTTAGTCATCATCCTGACGTCATTTCGACTATATTTTAGTCATCATCCTGACGTCATTTCGACTATATTTTAGTCATCATCCTGACGTCATTTCGACTATATTTTAGTCATCATCCTGACGTCATTTCGACTATATTTTAGTCATCATCCTGACGATCGTCATTTCGACTATATTTTAGTCATCATCTTAACGACGTCATTTCCGACTATATTTTAGTCATCATCCTGACGATCGTCATGATTTCGACTATATTTTAGTCATCATCCTGACGTCATTTCGACTATATTTTAGTCATCATCTTGACGACGTCATTTCCGACTATATTTTAGTCATCATCCTGACGACGTCATGATTTCGACTATATTTTAGTCATCATCCTGACGTCATTTCGATTATATTTTAGTCATCATCCTGTCGTCATTTCGACTATATTTTAGTCATCATCCTGACGTCATTTCGACTATATTTTAGTCATCATCCTGACGACGTCATTTCGACTATATTTTAGTCATCATCCTGACGTCATTTCGACTATATTTTAGTCATCATCTTGACGACGTCATTTCCGACTATCTTTTAGTCATCATCCTGACGATCGTCATTTCGACTATATTTTAGTCATCATCTTGACGACATCATTTCGACTATATTTTAGTCATCATCCTGACGATGTCATTTCGACTATATTTTAGTCATCGCCCTGACGACGTCATTTCGACTATATTTATGACTAAAATATAGTCGAAAGGTAGATTCATTAAAGCTACAAAATGTTATTCGGAGTTACTGTTCTTTTGTATTTTATAAAAATACTCAGTGGTTCCCGTAACTATTTGTGCAAACGAATTTCTACATTTGAACATTTCTCTGCCTTTTCCAGCAATTTCATTTTCCAAAGTGCAAATGCCTAAAGTATTTTACGTACGATATTTTCTGATTGAATGTAAGATTCTTACCAGATTGCCTTCGGCAATATCATAAAACCTTTGAATCAGTTTAACCACGGTACTTTTACCACAACCACTTTCACCAACAAGAGCAACTCTTTTTCCTTTAGGCACTGACAGAGTAAACCCATTCAGAATCTAAAACAAATTATTTATCGGGAATGAGTCATTATTTAATAGTATAACTATACCTATGTCGATCACTAATTATACTTACATTCGTGCCAATTTAAATTCATTCTTCAGTAAATTTGGAATTATACCACATTACTATGATCAAAAGTACATGATAATGGGCATCCGATGAGGATTGTATCAACTTATAGCCAGAGAAGAATAATAGAAAACCTTACACAAGATAGGGTAACACCAGTATAGAGCGCGTTATCAGTCTTACAATGCAACAAACTTAAGGTGGTTGAACATGAGATGTGGTTGGACTGTACCTCGTAATAATCCGTAACACTCGAAGCTCAACAACATTTCTCTGACTTTTACAACTTTTGACCATATCAAATGATGTATGCTTGATGTCCGCGTATGATGATTGTGTATGTTTTCGGTCATCATGTTGACCAAAACGTTGTCAAAATATAGTCATGTTCGTACAAGTCATTCTTGATGTTAGAATCATATAACGTACATGCTTTTTTATAACCTTTTAGTTTATCACGGTCTCAAAGTGTGTTCTAGCGAATTTTTAATGCAATTTCTATACGCTTGTATGAAAGGCAAACAAACGACTTGCACGAGATGTTGGGTTCGGTCTCTTACCTGAATGTCAGGTCGTGAAGGGTAAGTAAATGAAATATCCTCGAAGTCAACATTCCCTTCTAACAGTTCAGGAGCTACACCATCTTCAGATGAAATATCAATAGCAGGTGTCTAGATAAAAATAACATATACATCCGTATAATTTACATTATACATATCTCTTTAAATAAGTAATAACCTAATGCTATCTTACTTTTGACATGAAGATATTTTAAGCCTATAGTCAGAGCTAACTTGATCTAGTTTGGATAAAATTTAGATCAACATGAACCAACTGCTTGTTTTTTAAATAAGGTTAACGTGCATCCATATGCAATTGGCTAAATTGAGGGTTATAGCATCACTGGAGAGTAGTCAGGGAAAGAATTATAATTTCAGAGAGCGATGTTTGAGAACACTTGCGTATTCCTGACATTATACTTACACGATCAATCAGCTCGTAGACATGGTAAGCCGCACCTCTTGCTGACGCAATTCCTTGCATACTGGGTCCACCTTGACCAGCAAGAATAGATCCAACCATTACAGTAAAGAACACCTGAAATATTAGATATAATTTCTCTTTGTGTGCACATATAATAACCGCAACTGATATTATATTTTATAAATAATATAGCATCTGGCATATGGTCTAGTGATCAAAACTAAATGAAACCGCGAAACTATTAATCACCGAAAAGGGTCGGTACACAGATTTTCAGAAGATCTCCTCTAACTGGAGAGAGGTTTTGTAAAATACGATGCAATTTTATGAACACGGAAGCTTTTATCAAATGGAGAAACTGTTCCGAAAAACTGTGCATTATCTGAGAACAAATCATGATGAACATCCAGGCTTGCAGATCTTCACCAAATATAATAAACATGGCGTTTTCCACAAAACAATTATATCTTTTGCCATGCAAACCTAAAATTAAAGGAACTTGTAGACTTACAATCAACAGATTCCCACCAGTCATTTCTTTATCGATGACCAGCTTAGCTCCATACCTATATTTATATAAACACAACATTATTTGTAACCTGTCGATTTTTCACACTCACTATACACATAAGAAAGTTCAAAATCAAAATGAAAAAAAAATATAAAATCATGACCCACCAAAACGCCAATGCGTAAGAACAAAACATGATGAAATTGAACACCCCCATACCAAGTCCATTCGCTAATCCTTTTCTCTCGCCCATTTTACGGGCCGCGCCCAGACGAGAACTATACCTATGTTAAAAACATTTCAAATGAGAATATCAGTGCTGGAAAATGACCGGCAGCGCCAGCATCACTGCCAGGAAATGTTTTACAAAATATTGTCGCAGGAAATTTTTGTCATCTTATATACTGGACGGTCAAATAATTAACCCATTGTAAAAATTTCAAAAGCGTTTTGTAAGTCGTGATTGTCTTGCGCTGAGATTGAAGTAGAACCCAACGACTGAGGCCATATAGACACCAACTTATTTTTCTTAACATTTTCAGTTTAATCCTAACATTCAGTACCTTTCAGTTTCTTTTTCTTCGCCACCAAATGCTGCAACAGTTCTGAACGATGAGAGAACTTCCTGGGCAACGCTACCTGCTTCAGAATAAGCTTTCAATTCTTTTGTTGTAAAACCTGTTATTACCTTGAAATACACAGTTCATTCGTCATCTTTCTTTGCAGTAAAACCCCTACTCTTAATACAGCGCTATTTTAGGTTTTGCCAATACACGCTTCAGGAAAATACGTCATCATGGCCAAAGAGCCTCGTTCTCGTGATTGACACGTTTATGCTCCAATGTCGCGTGCACGAAAATGAGGCACTATGGCCAAAGGGACGTACTTTTCGGAAGGGTGTATTTTGATAGAGAATTTGGCGATGTCTTCATGCAGGTTTATCAAATATTTCCCAAATATCGAGAACTATCATTGTTATTTATTACATATAGTAGAAGACTCCAACTTGTGTGAGACATTTTCTCAGGCATATTCTGTCGAAATAGCCTTTGCATTTGGCTCTATAGCAACTTTAGCCTTATTTTTAGATGATACCATCATCTAGTATATCTTTTACTCCAGGTATACTAGATAGTAGTTAAATCAACTCCCTCCACATGGTTTTGGAGTTGACTTACAACTCCAGAGTTCTTAATTTTTATTTTGATACGCGAATCAACTGGAAGTAGCCTACGTAAATTTGAAAACCCATCTTTAAGCTGCGCATGCTCACCGGTGGAAGTGGGAAACAGCCTTTAGACTATAGAGGTAGCGTCGCTCCATGGTTCCCTCTGCATTCATGCCGAGTTAATCTGTACAGTACACAATGGCGTACAAGGTCTTCCTCAATGCAGTTTTATATACTGTTAACCTCCTTACCCATCCAAGAAATCCTCCTGATAGAGCAATAACCGGGAAAAGGGATAAGATAACAAGTGTAAGTATCCATCCATAGAAAAATCCAAGAATATATCCACAAATGAAACCTGCGATGCAGTATTGAAACGAAGCAAACTTATGACCAATTCCGTCTGCAATTTTGTTCAAATCACTGCAAAATATAAACAAAACATAGAATTATTTATTGTGCAAAATACTGTGTTGGAGAAGGCTTCTATTTTGACTTTTGAATGGATTTGTTTCCCGAGGTAAATAAAAGAACATCACTACATACTCAGATAAGCGACTGTTGAGTTCGCCAGCATCGTTTGTGTCAAACCAAGCCATTTCTTGACGAAGAATGGATTTAAAAAAAGCTTTGCGCATTGAATGGACCTGACGTTCGGCAGTCAAACCCCAAGCGACCATCCGTATAGCTACAGCTACCGCCATGGCAACAGCAATAGCAATGTAATAATAAGCAAAAGGTTTCATTTCTTCCTCAATATTAGGAATACTTGTGCAGTTTGAGAGTGGATGTAAACATTGTGTATAGTCAATGAAAGAATCTGAGAGATCACCAAAGATAATAAACTGAGCTGGAAGCAATGCTCCTTGACCTAAGGCTCCGAAGGTACCAATGATCATCAACATTTCATCAAATCGGTCAGCGAAACGAAACTGTAAAGAAAAAAGAAATTGATAGTTTTACCGTCTGTATATTCATTATCTCTCACTGTCCTAATCCACCCTTTTGATAATTCCTTGGCCTGGGAGCCTCGCTCACATGAATCAAGACAAAAGGCTTTTCGCTCATGTACGATTTAGAAGGATTTGTGACGCAATTATCAAAACGGTGTTCTTCGTATCAGTTTAAACATCGTGTATGTCCACTGTCATTCTCGGCGTCGGGAAGAAAAGAAGAAGAGGATCGGTTCAGCAATTACAAGTCTTCTTCTTTTCGTGCATGTATATACATGCATGGAATATGAACCATATAAAGGCACAATTCTTTTTTTAAATTAAAGGACTTGAGCACCTATCAATGTAAATCCCTGTTATCACCTTGATAAAGGCACAAGTATACGTGAAAAATATTTTTAGTAGAATCATACTAGTAGAATCATACTATTCCTCAACAGATAGCGAGTAGCAAAACACAATAATTTTCCTGGCGCATTTTTTTTAAAAATGGCTTCCAACACACGGTTTTTGTTCAATTATTGAATTTATTTTGTGGAATATTTTATGTTTGATTTCTGATTCTACTAAAACGGTTTTCAACTTGGGGGACAGGGGACATTTGGCAAATTCCTAGGGGACACAAACTGGTCTAGGACTGAGAAAACAATAGTTGAATACAATAGTTGAATACAATAGTTTGTACTATAAACATGTTTGCTTGACTTTCTATCTATTATTTAAAATTTAAATCATTTACTATTTTACTATTTCGAAATTCGTGTTTTTGATAGACTTCAGTGGGCAATTTCTGTTCAGTGGACGTGGTAATTCAATCATGTGAAATCGGGGACACATGAGAAAACCAGTTGAAAACCGTTGTACTAAAACAACTAGATTACTCGCTCTCGACTTCAGGCTTCACCCTCATCAACTCAGTATCATCTCATAGAAATCTTGAGTCCGTAATAAGAACCACGATGCGCATGTATAAGAAGCAACTAAAGATAAGCTCAAATAAATTTCTTAAAATACTAAATTAAACAGTTGTTTGCATAGTTTAGGCGCGGGACTTTTTGATACATTTGATTGATATTCGTTTTATTATTATTATTATTATTATTAATTCGTCTCCCCACCCACGGAATTTTACCCAAAATTTCAATTTCATTGATAGGTGCACTACATTGATAGCCAACAGTTTGCACTCTAGACTATATGTGATAAATATTAACGCATGCCGGAGAGCTTATTATGAAACACCCATTCGAAAATGCAAAACCGTGTTCCCAAACTATTCGATACTCAAACGGATGGGTTGTTCTTTAATAAATAAATAAGTACATTTCTTACCAAATCTTTATAGGAGACCATCGGAGTTGGTTCAGCCTTTTTCTCTTCTTCAGATGCTTTCTCGTCTTTATTGACATCTTCAGCACTATACATTCAGTAACAAAGTATACATTCATTTAAAAACACATTGAAGACAAAGTACATTCACTTTAAGAAAACATATTCAAAGGAAAAATACATTAATCGGTCTTGGTGATCTTCTATTTGTGATACTTTTTGAATCACAGCAAGAAGTTATCTTGTTTCGCCCTAATGGCACATTCGTGCAGGGACGAACTATCATACGAAATCAATGTTATCTATTTTGATTTCCTTAATTGTGGCGTATAAAGCTTACATGTATAACTGGTTCAACAAACATAGAAATAAAAGTATATTAACTTAACATAGCTATAAAACAACAGCAAGGTATGTAATACAAAAAGCCCTGTCTGTAATACAAAACTCTATCAAAATCAAACACGCGATTACATGACAAAATTTCAACCCAGGGGCAGGGCCGAGTTCAATCCCGGGGTTGAAATTTCAACCCTACTTCAGCTAGCAGGGTTGAAATTTGAACTCAGCCCGGCTGGTTGAAATTTTGTCATGTGATCGGTGCAACCCAGTAGAGCTGAAATTATTCATGACTTATTCACTGAGTGGTTACAAGAAAACAAAATGGAGGCGATGGAGCCGCTTTTTTTACTTCTGGGAATGAATCCTAGGAAGGTATAGCATTTCAACCCCGGGGTTGAAATCGTCCATGTAATTGCAAAAAAAATCAACCCGGTTAACAGGGCTGAGTTCAACACCGGGGCTGAAAGTGCTCCATATATCGTATATGTCACTAGGAGACTGAATAAGTATACCGTATTTACTCGTTTGAGATGCGGCGTTTCAGATGCGGCGCTCATTCGGGGATGGCGCTCAATTGGGGGCGGCGCTCTTTAAAAAAATCTTTTATTTGTGAATTATAACAAGAACTTTTAACAATAAAAAAAACCCAACGGAAACAACGTGCTCAGGAGTACCCGATTTGCCGACACCATTTGCCAACTGATATTGATTACTGTATTTATTAGTATATATTTATGGGAGTCTGTGAACAGAATCGATGTCAAATTACGAAGAATATAACGTCTAATAATATTTATTAAATAGGGAAAAATACATAGGTGCACGGAAATACCTAGCCTGCGAAAACAGCCTCTACTACTGTATATTAATAGGAGCAGCAAAGTAGAGGCTGCTTTCGCAGGCTAGGAAATATCAGATTTATTTCGAGTGTTGACTGTTGAACATGATATCTCAAGAGCGGAGCCCAGCGAACGAGTGAGATATCATGTTCAACACGAGAAATAAATCTGGTATTTCCAAGCATCCATGACCATGTATTTTTCTGTTTATTATATTTAAAGGACAGTCTTTGAAAAGCGATAATTTTCACATGTGAAATCGTATATTATCATAAATAATCTCACATGTGAGATCGTATATTATATTATATTATATTATATTATATTATATTATATATTATATTATATTATATTATATTATATTATATTATATTATATTATATTATATTATATTATATTATATTATATTATATTATATTATATGATATGATATGATGATATGATATCATATCATATCATATTATATTATATTTTATATTATATTATATTATATTATATTTAACAAATATAAAACATTTTCCGTGTTGATATACAGTTATATCAACACGAGTGGAATTGGGAAAACGAGAAATTGAATGGAAACACGACGCCCGAAGGGCGGAGTGTTTTCATACAATTTCGAGTTTTCCCAACTTCCACGAGTGTTGATATAACTATATATCAATACGGAAAAATGTTTTATATTTTTTTTATAATATAGCAATGTCAAAAGCCCGAAGGATGAGAAAATTTCCCGTGTTGACATTGAGTTATATC